AAGTGCCCTTGGTGTTTATGTGATTTCAAACAAAATTTTATCTTCTACATTTTCCAACACAAGATTGATTTGACAGATTGGAGATAATTAATTACTCACTGGCATCCTAAAGTTACAGGTTATGGAGAAAGAAAGAAATGTGATGCATGATGTTTGAAAAATTTCAGAGGTGAGAGAGCTTTGAGATCATTAGTGGTGAAGCAAAATAAACAAGAAGTCCTCGTCGCTCAGTCACTCACAGCAGCTGAAGTGCATCACGTTAATAAAACGGTCTCCCTTCAGCGTGCTGCTGACCCAGGGTCGCTGAACGTCGCACGCAGAGGCCGCTGTCACTTTAACAAAAGTTCAGAGTCCGAAAAATTCTTCGAGGCTTCAAAATGGATCTGAGGAAGCTGGCTGCGGACGCAGTGTCCCAGAATAAGAAAGCCGCTCTTCTGATCGGCGGAGCCGGAGTTGCAATTCTGGGACTCGGTCTCGGATATAAATACCTGCGAAAGCCAGAAAAAGCTGTTCGTGTGGGCGTAGTGTCGCAGCTCCTCATTCACCCTCTCAAGTCTGGCAAAGCGGTGCCTTTGGCGCTTGCAGAGTGCCAGAAAATGGGGCTGAAGTTCGGAGAGCTGCAGGATCGGTGAGTATTGCAATAAATAAATAAATAAAATTAATTTATTGTTAATTAGTTCCACCGCTTAGTTAAATGAAAGATATTTACCGCTGTAACCATTCTTCGTTACCTCGCCATTAAATCTTGCTGCAGGGCAGCGACGTCTCCTACTTCTTCTTATGGAGACATGAGGTCTTTCAATTCATGAAATCGCAACAAGTCAGTGAATTTTCAACCACTTTGTTTTTTTAAAAAAAAAAAAGATCTGTAGGAACTTTCTGATATTCCCATGGACCCTCCCCTAAAAAATACTGGAAACACCCCTGCACGGAAGCCCCAAGATTATTTTTCAGTTAATGTTTTATGAACAACTGACGAATAATAAAGTTTATATAGAGAATAAGTTTTTGTGTAAAAAAAAAAACAACAAAAAAAACACCGGCATTTAAATTAACAAAAGCAGAGTACAAAACGTTTATATAGTTAATGATAAGCTACTGTGTAAATATTAATTAATTTATTATTTGTTTTATTTTGGTTTGTGCGTGGGTGTTTGTGTCAACATGGATATCAAACCAGATTCTAACAGAACATTTTTACTCAGGTAAAGAATATGGGAAACAATTAAACAAAATCACACTGCCATGGTTAAAACATTTCACACACTGCCGTACTTCTTACCTCTGTTTCAAGGTGTCCTCTGATCTCTGTTTCTTATGGTTTTAAGTGTACCATAAATAATCATCATGCCTATGCAGTTTTACTGTTTCAACAGCAAGTCCATGTCTCTGTGGGAACCTGAAATACAGACGTTTGTCTAATCCATCAGGAGAAATCGGTCAGATTTGACTTAAAACAGCTTCAGTGTACAAAAAGCCAATAAATATAAATGATTTTTAGTCATAATATCAGAGTTCAAGGGGGACCCTGACATCATCACAAAAGGTGTCTATGCTGCCGCCACACTTGTCCAGATTCCTGCAGAGACCGGCAGGAAGGGTTGGTGCTATCACCTCGCAGCAAGAAGGTTCCTGATTAAATTCCCAACTGGGATCTGCATGGGTTTACTGCAGGTTTTCCAGCTTCCTGTCACAGAGAAAAGACGTGCATTTGAGGTTAACTGGTGTTTCAAAATTGGTCACAGATATGGGGTGTATAAATATTTTAAGTGTACAGAATAAAGTGTGGGATAAAACTTTCACTTGTACAAAGGTGCTACGTGAAGGCAAATACATCAGATTTGCACCTGCAAAGTAAAAAGTAAATATGTTTAGTCTGAGCTAACCAAGATTAAAGTGAGATAAAAACACAGATAAAAGGGAACGGTCATAAGATTATAAAAGTGCCTGAGCTGAGTACAGAGAGCACGTGTACGAGTCCCACGCACACACACGGTTTCCCAACTCTGCTTCTTCAAATGCACAAACTAGTTTTCAAAAAGCAAATGTTTTTGAACCCCAAGTGTTGTTTAATGTTGAATTAATACTGATAAATATAAATGGTAGGTAAGAGGATTTTTGTTTTAATATAACAGTGAGGACAGTGTTTAACAGTTGTAATGATTATACATGGTTATATAATATCTATTATATTTATAATATAATAAATATTTTTAACTTCAAAAAATGCTCTCTCCCTCCTCGCTGACACATTAAGGATGTCACGCTATTTATACATTCAAAACAGAGCTGTAGTTCAAAATTTGGGTATAGATATGAATTATAAGGGAACTTTTATTATGAAAGGATATCCTATTTTCTAACTCTTTAAATACATGTGTTGACAGTGCTACCTTGCATGAGCCTTTCTGGATAACACCCAGAACAATTTTCAACCAGGGGATAATAATAAATTGTGATGTAAATCTGGGATTTCTGTATGACTCAGTTTTGCCATGGCAACCTGTGATGTCATTGATTCCCATCTTGTTATCCGTTATTCGCTATTCCTTTAATATTGTCTTGAGTTTGTGTGGGTTTCTTGCCAGATGATGGAATTAAATTGGGATGCCAAATAATGCAGATGGGTGAGGGAAATCCAGCTTTCTATGTGTTTTGTTTGCAGACACTGGATGGTGGTGACAGAGGACGGTCACATGGTGACAGGCAGACAGGAGCCACGTCTGGTTTTGGTGTCTCTCACCTGTGAGGGAGGACAGGTTTGCTTAAACGGACCAAACATGGAGGAACTGAAGTTCCCCATCAAACAGCCCGACAACCCCGTCCTCGACTGCAGGTGCTACGTCTGCTTTTAATTTGTACTGCTCGGTCTTCTTTCGGTGAATAATTCAGTTTCTTCCTGTATCTTATATAGTAAAGTTATGAAGTGAATGCATTTTGAATGTAAATTTAATTTGACGTGGATGCAAACTGAACCTGGACCAGTCAGTGAATTAATACACTCATAAAGTGATAATTCTGCCTTTCAGAGTCTGAATCTTTTGATAAGTTGACCAAATAATCAGTGGCATTTTTTTCTAACCTCTGGTTTGAGATTTACATAAATGCCTCTTCTGTGTTTATTTACTTTTTTGTCCTGTAGAGTGTTTGGCGTTGACATTCAGGGCCGGGATTGTGGTGACAAAGTGTCTCACTGGCTTACTCATTACTTTACGGCAGAGAAAACTTATCGCCTGGTGCACTTTGAACCTTGCATGAGGCCTAGAAGTACAGCTGAGAAACAATTTGAGGTACTACATGCTTTGTAGTTTATTTTAATGCTTAAATTTGATGCATCTTTCAAGCCAAAATGCCCTGATCCTGTTGTGATGTGTTATCCAGGAGGTGGCCTACCCAGATTTTGCACCTGTGATGCTGCTGTCAGAGGCCTCTGTTAAGGATCTCAGCAGCAAGTTAGAGAAGGGAGTCACGGTTGAGCGCTTCCGCCCCAACATTGTGATAAGTGACTGTAAACCATTCGATGAGGTGCGTTGTTCAGCCTTTGCCTAAAAAACTAACGCTCGTACCTCCTGATATTCTGGTCTACAAAGAAAAGCAAAAACTACTTTAGAGCCAGTTAAGGTCTTAAAAATATTAGCTCTCATGTCTGTCTGCACTACTGGTGATTAGCTTTTGTTTTATTTTTCCTGGCTGAAAAGACGATCATTTGGTCCTTTTACTTGTGACTAATAACTCACCCTTTTCGGTGTGAACAGCGTGGACTAAATTTGTCTCCAACTCCAAAACCAACTGCTTTGCTTTTTCAGGATTCGTGGGAAGAGCTCCAGATTGGCAGCGTGCGACTGCAGCGTGTAATGGCATGTGGAAGGTAACACTGTGGATGCTACGCGCACATTTTAATCAGACACAGAATCCGTGCATTTATCAACAAGAACAAATCCAAAGAGTCATTGCTGGTCTGTGCAGTTTGATTTTAGAAATAAGCAATTGTCAGGCAAAGTGAATGTGTGTGTTTTTAAGTTAAAAATGATTTAGGGGTTAAATGGATGCAAACGTACCTGTAAGTTTGTTTTTGTTTTGTTTTTTTTACCAGGTGTCTTTTCACCACAGTCGATCCAGAGACTGGTGTAATCAGCAGAAAAGAGCCTCTGGAAACACTGAAAAAGTAACATTTTACCTCAGTATTATTATTATTATTATTATTATTATTATTATTATTAATAATAGGAAAGGGTTTTTAAAAAAAAAAGATTTTTGAATGTTTTTTTTGAGTAATGTTGTATTTCTATGTACAAACAGTGGCCACTTTGTTAGGTACACCTGTTCCTCTGCTCGTTAACGCAATTCTCTGATCAGCCAATTGCATGACATTTAGGCATGTAGACATGACCAAGATAACCTGCTGACATTCAAACTGGGCTTCACAGTTCAGTTCAATTTTATTTATTGAGTGCCAAATCACAATAATAGTCAAGGCACTTTATATTGTAAGGTAAAGACCCTACAATAATACAAAGGAAAGAGAAAACCCAACAATCATAACTGCATATGAGCAAGTGGTTTAGCGACAGTCGGGGGGGAAAAAAATCTCCCTTTTTAAAAGGAAGAAACCTCCAGCAGAATCAGGCTCAGGGAGGGGCGGGCATCCGGGAAGAAAGGGGACTTTGAATGTGGCAAAGTTTTTAGTACCAAACAGGCTCAACTGAGTATTTCAGAAACTGTTGATCTACTGGGTAGGGTTTAGAGTATGGTCCAAAACAAAGAAAGCATCAGGTGACAAAAGAAAAGCTTTGGTGATACCAGAGGTAAGAGGAAGGGGGAGAAAGGAAGGCAGCAGTAGCCACAATACTCACTTGTTACAACCAAGGTATGCAGAAGAGCATCTCTGAACACACACACGTCAAACCATGAAGCAGATGGCCTACAGCAGGCACAGCAGGTGCCAGTCCTGTCAGCCAAAAATAGAAAACTGAGGCTACAATTCCCATGGCCTCACCAAAATTAGACAAAAAAAAGACTGGAAAGACTTCTGGTCTGATGAGCCCTGATTTCTGCTGTGATGTTCATATTATAGGGTCAGAAATTGATGTTGAAATCTGCAGAAAATGTGTGTTGCCATCATGTCAATATGGATCAAAATCTCAGAGAAATGTTGTTGAATCTATGCGACAAAAAATTAAGTTGGTTTTGAAAGGACAACTATCTCCAATCTGGCACTATCAAGGTGTACCTAATAATAAAGTGTCCAGTGAGTCTGTTTTAACCTCACAGTGGGCTTTTTTTCCTGTCTGTCACATCTAAAATGTCTTTGAACTCACAGCTATCGCATGTGCAAACCATCTGAGAAGCACATCTACAAAACGTCTCCACTGTTTGGACAGCTGCACAACGTGAAGAAGACGGGCATCTTTCAGGTTGGCGATGTGGTTTACAAGATCACCCGCTGATAGAAGGC